CCGCCCCCACCTCTGCACATTGGACCCAACAGATGAATTTTTCCTCCCCCTCCACTACTTCCTCCTCCTCTTTCTGAGTCCCCAGTGTCCATTCTGCCATTCTCTGTGTCTGTGTAGCTCACTTATAAGTGAAGAGCGTGTGGTGTTTGATGTTCTGCATTCCTGGCTTAGGAGGATGTTCTCCGGATCTCTGAGTGCAGGATTTCTTTGGCTGCTAGGGGAAGGCAGGCAGAGATCCAGGAGCTCTGGGTAGGGAATGGGGACCCCTTGACTTCCCAGTCTGGCCTTGACTGGGTCTGTGTCTTGGATAAGTCACTTCTCATCTCCAGGTGTGAACTCAGAGATGGGAATGCTGTCCCGTCTGAAAGTGATGAGACAGCCAAATTGTTCCTTAGGGTTCTTCCAGTCTAAAATCAATAACACAATAGTTTTGTGGGCTGGCTTTAGGATAGCAGGACTCTGAATTCTGTCTCTGCCACTTCTGGCTTTATAGACAAGTTACTTAAATACTCTAAGGCTGAGTTTAAAATAGGGGAAATAAAACATCTTGTAAGATTGTTGTGGGAATCAAACGCAATACTGTATGAGTTTGTAAAGCATTTATTTAGCATTGTATCTATGTGTAAATGGATATGGATGCTGCTATTATAAAATAACTTCAAAAATGAGATGGCTACCCTGGAGAGGCTATGAAACAACGAAACTAACCCCTAGATCGCATGATGTCAAGGAACTGGGCCAGTGAATGTATTGCAGTGTTTACAAGTTCAGTGTCATGAATGATCTTTTCTGATTCAGGCCAACCAACATTACAGGGCTGAGATGGGTGAGCTGATACACTGTGAGAGAGCGCCCTCTAGTGTCCATAGACATTAACAACTTCATTAAGATTATTGAAGAACATGTGGCTTTGAGGACATAAAAATCAAGGATTTGAAGGTTTGTTCCTCTTAAATAATGCTAATAAAACTGATCTTTGATAAAACTAGTAAAGTCTCATTAGTTATATCACTACTAGTAGTAATTCATTAGCCAACTTTTCCATAAAAGTCACGTTCTGGGCATTTATAAGAAAGATCTCGCAGTTCTAAAAGAGAAAATTACTTTTAAATTAAAACATAAATTATATCGAACACTTGAATTTCACATAAAATATTCAGAGTAGTTCTTTATGCCAAAAAATTGAAAGTAATTTAGAATCACTCAAAAGAATGGTGCAATAGCACTTGGGTTAGGTGGCTGAACTGGGGTCTTTCTGGAGGTGACCTTGCTGCAAACTTGGCTGTGTGACTTTGAGCAAGTTGCTTCATTTCTGTGGACCTGTTTCCTATTAAAATATAGAAATGGGAGCCTGAACATTTCTAAGGTTTTTTCTGTCTCTAACATTCTTTGAATTAAGGAGTATACATCATTCTTTTATTTTTATTTTTTGAATTGGAGTTTCACTGGAATGCTCACAGGCTGGAATGCAGTGGCATGCTCACAGCCACTCCAGCGTCAACCTGCTGGACTCCGATGATCCTTCCACCTCAGCCTTCCAAGTAGCCAGAACGACAGGCACGTGTTACCATGCCCGGCTAACTCAGGCAATCCTCTCGCCTTGGCCTCCCAAAGTGCTGGGATTACAGACTTGACCCACCGCATTCAGCCTACAATGTATGATTTTTAACGTGCATAGTTAAATTAATAAATTATATATTGTGAGTAAGGGAAAGCACTTCCAGCAACAATGAAGCTGCACCAACTGACCAGTTGAATGTCGTTCAATAAGCTATTGATGCCAGAGAAGTCCCGTCCTACGATGCCTTTGTCAAAGAGTCGAAACGAAAGATGAAGGCAAGGAAAAGGAGGGCTGAGAAAGAGGCTAAAGAAGCAGACATGAGCAGAAAGGAAGTGGGGCTTGACGAAGCAGTGGATCACTTGAAAGCCATCGTTCAGAGCGAACAAAAACGATCTGCAAGAGGAAATGGACCATTTTCTGGCTCGGATGGAAGCAAAGTACTGCAAACCTTCCAAAGGAGGAGAGGAAAAAAACGCCTCTGAAGAAAGGAAAGAAATAATGGAATCTTCCTCTTCAAAAGTCCTTAAGTGTTCATGGGTACCCTTGGAGGCAAGGTGCAGTCAAGATTTGAAGGCAAAAGTCAACACGACCCTTGAGAGAAACTGTCTCTCCAGCCTAAATTTTTCAGATTGATTGAACCAAGCAGAATCTCTCAGCCTGCTATTATGTTTCTTAGAAGTCACCTGACATCACAGGAGGTCTTGAAGGGATTCGGTGGTGATAGTTGGGAGGGCAAAGGGAGTATACTTCCTGACAGAAGCACCTGCTTCTGTGGTTCTTCCGTATGCAGAACTGTATCTAGAAGGTGGGTTCGGACATACAGCTTTCTGTGACGTGCATGTCTATTAGAATGGATACTCTACCTAAGCTAGAACACCTTGAACACACTTGCTTAACAACTATCTTCCAAATGCTTGCTAGTTTACACTTGGTCTTAATGATCTTGAATACACCCTCTTTTTGTCTTACTCAGCCAGGTTTTGTACTTCATAGGTGTTCATATTCAAGCAATTTTCTAAGACTTGTATATGATTAAATAAACAAGTAAAACAGGAAAAGTTCGGGGACTTTTAAAATGATCCATGATCATTAAAATGTGATCTAGAAAAAATATAAGTGGGGATAGAGAAAAGGGGGGAAAGACAGGATAGAGAAAAGGGGGAAAGATAGTTGTCGTTGGCATTATAAAAGCCTGGTTTAAGTTACATAAAAAGATGTAAGGACAAGTGTGGTGGCTCCTGCCGGTAGTCCCAACACTTTGGGAGGCTGAGGTGGGAGGATTGCTTGAGCCTACTTGTTCAAGACAAGTCTAGGCAACATAGCATCTCTATAAAAAAATGAAAAAAAATTTCACTGGGCATGGTGGTACATACCTATAGTCCCAGTTACTTAGGAGGCTGAGGCCAGGAGGTCCAGGCTGTGGTGAGCTCTGTTCACGCCATTGCACTCGTCTGGGTGACAGAGTGACCTTGACTCAAAGAAAAAAAAGAGAAAAAGGGAGATGTGTTGTAGTTCTTCCTTGCTAAATGTCCTTAGGTCACTAAGCTTGTCTCAATTTGTTTTCTCATTTATAAAAGAGTGAGATCCAAACTTGTCATTGCATATATTAAATGTCGTTTTTTGGTAAAAGAAAAAAAAATTGCTTTGGCTTTGAGGGAATACACAAACACACACACATACACACAGATGAGGGGAATGGGCTAAATTACTTCTTAGAAGATCCACTTTGACTCTTTAAGGCTAGCCAAGATTTTCAGTTACATCTAGATGACTTGGTATGACTCATTAGACTATAGGGAGTTTTCAAGGGACTGTTCAACTTAAAATATGATTGCAGAGTAATACATTTAATATACCATATGCATAAAACAAGCCTTCTCTTGCTGTTGAGCTTTATGTATAATGGTTTATCTAAGCTAAGCACATGAAACATTTTTCAATTTGTGCTTACAAACAAGTTAAAAAATACTTTTTAATTATATTAAAATTATAATTTAATGCAGGCTGTTTTGAAGCATCTGTCTTTATATAATAGCATTGGGGCACCTAAAAAAAAAAAAAAGAAAAAACATCTATAAAAATAAGAAGCTATTTCAGCACAAATAGGATTGTAGGGCAATGCTGGCTACACCAGAAAATTAAACAAATTAGCAAGAATCCATCTCTACAGAGGCAAGAACTTCCAATGAAATACACGCTTCATGGAATTATAACTGTCAGGATTTCATTGTACTTTGCCAGCTAAATTGTTAGTATTTAGGTGCCTGAATTCAAATTGGTTCCATAAAGATGAACATGCCTGCACTGCAGGGAAAATTAGCTTATAGGAATTAAAAATTTCTCTGCCAACGCTAAACATTTAAAGGGTGCATAGCTCTTGATCTAGCAACTGAACTTCTAGGAATCTATTCTGAGAAGTGTTAACTGTGCAAAAGAGTATTTTTAATAGAAAAATGGCAACAATCTAAACACAGGTCAACTGAAAACTGATCAGATCAGTTAAGGCAAACCTGTACCACAGAATGCTATGCACCTACTGCAAAGAGTAGGTTTTGTTTTTTTTTTAAAGTAGGGTTTTGCTCTGTCGCCCAGGCTGGAGTATAGTAGTGCCATGACAGCTCACTGAGAGCCTCAAACTCCTGGGGACTCAAGTGATCCTCCCACCTCGGCCTCCAAAGTAGCTAGGACCAAAGGTGTGTGCCACCACACCTGGCTAATTTTTGTTTTGTAAAGATGGGTTCACCCTATGTTGCCCAGGCTGGCCTCAAACTCTTGGTCTCAAGTGATCCTCCCGCCTCAGCCTCCCAAAGTGCTGGAATTAGAGTACAGGCATGAGCTACCATATGCACCAACATGGAAAGATGTCCTCAATGAGAGAAGTGTAGAAGTTAAAGATACCTAGTGTGATTCTTGATTTTTTTTAAACCCATAGGTTGTATATATAACAGAAAAAATGGCTGGAAAGTTAAAGATCAGCTAATGAGTTAACACTAATTTGGAGGTGGAGATTCTCTAAAGCTTTTCATTCCTTACCTTTGCACCTATGCTAGGGTCACTTATCTCTGGAACATCTTCTCCCAAATGCCATTTAACCAAAACAGTCCAGGTGGCCTCTTCTTCCGAGAAATTGATCTCACTGCTCACATTCCAGAGAATTTTCTCTCATTTGTCTAACCTTTCATTACCCTGGAAGTCTTTCATGGCATTTATAATCAATGTCAGCTTGCATCTGAGTGTCTTACAGTTACTCACGTTGGGTTTTCTCTTTTTCCCACTTATTAGATAACCGGCTTCTTGTGAGAAGAAACCCAGGTTTACTCATCTCTGGGTTCCCTACAGTGCTCAACATAATGGATGCTCAACAAACGTTTAGTGAATTAACATGGAGTGGCTTATTTTTTGCAATTCAATGTGTACATTAGTAATAATCTGGAAAAAGTCCAAATGATTATCACTTTATTTTCAAACGTTTATTTACATGGACTCTTTAACATGTTTCACCTTTAATTTTTACAAGATAAAATCCAAAAGCTTAAAATCAGAATTTTATAATATATCACAATTAAGTGTGGAGGAGGAAAGGGTTGTTATTTTGAGGAAGATCTTTCATAATTCTAAAAATGCAGATACAGTATTTTTAACACAGATATATACAACATGGCATCGTATTTAATGTACAAGAGTTGAAATTATATTTTATTACAGAACATTCCAAAATTCAAATTAATTAAAAAAGCTCACAAACACTGATGACATCTAGGAAAAATAATAGCAACGAGTTTATCAATAACCATGCCTTATGTCTAGTAAACGTATACACAATACATAATTTACATGTCAAATCCACAAAGTTAAAGACATATGATCCATCTATTTAAATCTTGCTAGAATCTAAATGCTAGTTTCTAGTCATAGTTTTAAACACATTTTGTGGTAATGTATAAAACAGGAATTACAATCTATAAAAACATATTTAACAGAATTCTTAATTCTTAAGACACTAGGAAACCTCAAGGATTGCAAATCAGGCATCCCCCCCCCGAAATTAAAGTTCTTATTAATACATTCATAAATATCAAAGGGAGAAAATAAAAACAACCCAGATATGATGACTTGACTTTAACTTCTCAAACTTATTTCTGTCTTGAGCCCTTGGCATAATCACAGCTTCCCTTGGATTTTAATTTTCTCCTGATTTAGTGGGGACAACATATTTATTCCCACCCTTCTTCTAGGAAGGATTCAAGGTGGCTTAGGAGACAGTCTCAGAAAATACCAGAAAGCAGGTTAAATGGAAAAAAAAAGAAAAGAAAAAAGAAAACAGATTTGGAAACCAGTATACATAAAACCATTTAAGAAAAGGCCAGGAAATTTTATCTTAAAGTATATTACACTATTCTCCCACAGTGATTTCCTAGAAATATTGCAAAATATATTAATTTGTAAGAAAACTATTAAAGTACTAGTAAACTGGAGATGCAGATCACATATGTTAAATTATTTAACTCTGATGAAGCAGATGATTGTTAAAGTGTGTGCTTTTCTTTGTGCTTGGTGAGTTTTCCTAAATGCCATATGTGCGATCCTAGATTTAGTCTCTAGCTATTGGTAGAGGAGAGTGTAGGTGGAAAAAAATAAAATTTAGGTGTCCTAACTAAATTCCTCCTAAGAATTCCATCAACTGGCACCTGTTGATGACGTGCAGCTGGAAGGCTTCAGGTCAGGTGGTTGGTGTTACAGGGCTCTTCTGTCAGCACAGGACACAGCACCCATCCTAAGGCATCGTGACTGAATCAGGCCCTCCAGTTTACTACATTAGGAGCCAGCAAAACACGGAGGAAGCTAAACTTCTCAGGGTGGCATGTTGAGGCCAGTCTCCTGCTGCCTGGAGAGCTTCAGAGGCTCACCTGGGCTGACAGTCTGCAAGTCACAGGTCTCGCCCCACTCCTGGGGCCAAGGGGCTTGGGAAGTAGCAAGAGAAATGTTCTGGAGAGAAGCCTGGAGCAGCATTCAACAACTTCAGGGAAATGTGCACAGGTCTGTCCATCTTGATTCTACAGGCCTAGCCTTCAACAAATGATTGAATGATCTTGTACATATTTCAAAACTATAAAGACCAGAACAAAAGTATTTCTCTGAAGACAAACTCACCACTGGCTCCTATCTCTTTATTGAGGATGAATGGTCCCATACAATTCTCGTGAGATTTGGTCAGGTTGAGAAGGAATGAAGTTCAAGTCTATAGCTGAGCAACAGTGGGAACTGCCGAGGCAAAGACTCCCCTTGGTTTGTGGAGGTCGGAACGAGAGAGAGAGGAATGACAGCTGTTTTTCCAAAGACACCCTTTAGAATGCACGGCCAACTTACCCATTAGGCACAGTGCCTCTGGTCCCACAAGATTTTTCTAAAGGCCTATAAAAAGTTTTAACTTTTTAACTTCATAAGAAAAAAAAACTTTCAGACTGAACAAACTATTTTAATCTAAAATATAAAACATTTGCTTTATACAAAAGGCAGCTGTGAAATATAACTTTTAATCTTGAATGGAAGAAGGGGTCTAAGACAACAAAACTATCCAGGGCCCCCCAAAATCATGATGCAGTTCTAAAAAGAATCAAACCAACTATAAGAAGGGAAACTGAAGATCACTAAAAAGGATCAGAGAATGGTTCAAGGGTAAAATCATGGAGTGGGAAAGAGATCTTACTGACCGTATTCCATTCATTTTTCTTTTTTTGAATGTTAATTTGGAATTAGATTTTTAAAGAAAACAAAGTCTAATACTGGAGAAGTGCTAGTGTCAATTTCTATTAGCTAAGCCAGAAAAAAAATTAAGCTCATTTATAGTCATTGTATTATACAATAATAAAAACACAATCAGGGCAAAAAAAGCCTGGATGTCTTCAAGTCCCTTTTCCGTTTCTGTAAACACTATTAGAGGTAGGCTTTCTTTTGATGTCCTGCCTCCTGAACTTTCTGTATCATGCTCCACTCAGTGCTAGACTTCCTCTGCGCTTCTCCAAGGCCCTGGCTCCAATTACCCTCAGTAGCCCAAGACTGGCAGTGCTAGGTATGTGGTTCCTAGAGTTGCAAAAATGTTTTAAGAATATGATAAAAGAAAAAGGAAGAGCCGGGCTCGGTGGCTCAGCCTGTAATCCCGCGCCTTTGGGAGGCTGAGGTGAGTGGATTGTCTGAGCCCGCGGGTTCGAGACCCTCCTGGGCAGCGAGACCTCATCTCTACAATAAATCAAAAAATCAGCCGGGCATGGTAGTGCATGCCTGTAATTTCGGCTACTGGGAAGGCTGAGGCGGAAGGATCGCAGGAGCCCAGCAGGTTGGGGCTGCGGTGGCCGGGAGCGGCCACTGCACTCCAGTCTGGGCGACAGAGTGAGACGCCAACTCGAAAAAAGAAAAAAAGAAAAAAAAAAAAAAGAAAAAGGAAGCAAGAGAATGAATGGAGAAGGAAAGAAATATATAACACATTAATGTACTACTTTTATACTCTCAAGAAAATGGAGAAGGATTTATACTAATATATTAACTGTGGTCTTCTAGGTAGGATTGAGATATTTGTACTTTATATTTCTCTATAATTTAAAATATATTTTATAAGATAAATCCACAATAGTCAGAAAAAATACTCAGTAAATATTATTTTTTTTAAATGTGCTCTCAACGCCCTAGAGGCTGACAATGATCATCTTTGAGTTGGTCAAAGTATGGCTTAGGTTAGCAAATATGGTTAAACACTGGCATGCAGGGAGATACAGATTTGAAAACAGAACTGTTAGCAGCTTTCCACCACCCGAATCTATTAATATTACAGGGAAATGCCAAACAAGAAAGCTAATAAATACTAGCTTTTAGTATTTGTTCCCCAATAAACCACGAGGAAACAGGTAAAAAAGAAGATGAGTGCAAAGGAATGAATTACTGCCTTTCACAGAATCCTACAACTCCCGATCTTGAAAAGGAACACTAAGTCACAAAATGTAGACCCTTAGTAAGACCTTAGGTTTCCTGATTTTTGTTCTAGGACCCTTACACTCCTGGCTCCCAAAGTAACCACCTTATAAGCTATATTTCATTATTTATCCTATGTGTATACAGATAAATGGAAAATACTACCCGTTTTCTTTAAAATATATATGTTAATTTGGGAACTGTACTCACTCAAAATACAAAGTTCAGGTGAGTAGTCCAAAACTGGCCCACATTCCAGAATAAACTGGAACATACCCTAAAATTTTAGCCCCGGAAGGACTAGGAAGTTAATTTAAACTTCAGTTACACAAGAATTGAAGCCTAGAGAAAGTAAATATATCCCAGTATTAGAAAGGTGAAGGTCACCTACAACTGGCTCACTTCTTCTTCCAATACTGCCTTATTCTTCCTTGGCTATTGATTACAACCAAATAAAGCAAAAATATAAATTATTTCCAGTTTAGATGTAAGGAGACTGTTATTAATAAAATGTTTAGTGAATGGGTATCTATCAATTCTCTGGTTACTAAAAAATAAACTAAAATCTACTGAATTTCAATAAATGAGGTAGTATGATTGCTTACTTTTATTCAAAAATGTATTTAAATGAAGATCACAATTTTGAGTTTTGTTGTCACTTGAAAATGATGCAAGACGATTCAGTGTCTCAGGCTTATAAATCCACAACAAAATTCTTATGTTTGAAATATCAGGGGTTGGAAAATAATGGCCAGCAGGCTGTGTTCTGTGAGGCCTATGAATGATTTTACATTTTTAAAGGGTTGTAAAAATACAAAGAATGTCTGATGAAGACCATATGTGGCCTGAAAAGCCAAATGTATTTACTAATTAAAAAGTTCAGCTGGGCTCGGTGGCTCAGCCTGTAATCCCGTGCTTTGGGAGGCTGAGGTGAGTGGATTGCCTGAGCCCGCAGGTTCGAGGGCCACCTGGCCAACCTGGCAAGATCTCATCTCTACAATAAATCAAAAATCAGCCGAGTGTGGTAGCACGCGCCTGTAGCTCCGGCTACTTGGAAGGCTGAGGTGGAAGGATCACCGGAGCCCAGCAGGTTGAGGCTGCAGTGGCCGGAAGTGGCCACTGCACTCCAGTCTGGGTGACAGAGTGAGACTCCAACTCAAAAAACAAAACAAAACAAAAAGTTCACTGACCTCCATTTTAGATTCAGAAAATATACAGAACTGGACTGAATATGTAGTATGTCCTGAAAGGCTGTCTTCTGTCTTTAAAAATTAAATCTGTACTGTAATTTGTCTCTTTCTCCTAATAGTAGATAATGGGAAAAAAATAGTTTGAGGGTTATGTTTACCCATGTTCTAGTTAAGTAAGGTTTTATCACATATACTAATGTAAGTGGACATATAGTTAAAGCTAATTATTTTATGTGTGCAAAATCCATAAAAAAAATTTCAGATAGATGAGAAAATGGTGTATCTTGTAGTACTGCTGCTATTAAATAAAATGGAAGCAAATTATCTGTGATTAAAAACTGGTAATTTGGTTCTCTCTTGTGACTGTTTTTAAGATATCTTCACTGTGCCTCTCCTGGCCCCCTATTACATGTGGTTAGACTTACTAATCAGCAGTAGTTCTCAACCGTGTTACCTCAGTAACCACCCATCCATATCTCATTTGTAACCATACACAGATCTCACCAGAATATATGGAAAGGATGGAAGTGCTTCTAAATGCGACATGAGATACTAACACAGAACATAAGAAATGGCTATTTCAGGGAAGAACTGGGACTTCGAGGCAGCAGAATTGACTTTCAGGCTGAACCCAACAGTACAGTTTCATGACCTACAGCGTTGCTCGCTGAAGGACCTGCAATAGATGCTCTGATATTCACTATGTGAGAAACAAGTCCATATCTCTTCTGTCTCACATGATTTATGTAGCAAAGTTTGGATTTTGTGGACTAGAGAAAAAATACCAAAGCTGTGCCACTGTTAACTAAAATATACTCATTTCAAGGTATAACTTTGAAAGTAGGATCTATTGTGTCAAGACTGAAATGTCTTACTTTAAAATAATCACATTAACAATTCCTTCGTACAGTTCTCTTCAGCCACTCCATTCTCTTGCTTGCTTTTGTAATTAGACAGGAACAAATTTTCTATTTGAGTCAAGAATTCTTCAGCAATGAAGCAATTGGTCACCTTGCTCAGAGTTTTCCTCATACACTCCAAAAGCTAGGTGAAAGAAAAGTTTTAAATATAAGTAAGTAAAAAGCTTCAGAGGGTTTGCATCCTCATCAGTATTTTATTCTTTTCCAAACCTCACGTTTCCTAATAGTCAAATGACAAACTGTCCTTAAATATTGTTGAAGATTAACTTGTATTCAATAATCATACAGCTAGAATGTAGGAAACCACTATGTAGGAAGCCACTGTGGAGGAACACTCGGCTTAGTTTCTCTATGATTTTTACCTAAGGAGACAAACTTCAGATTGTATATGGAATGCTTTCTAACTCTGGACAAATGTGTGACTTTGCTCCTTTTTTAGTAGTTACATTTACAGAGCAAAATAATCCTGAACACAGATAAAAAAAATTCTATGCACACACAAACACAGGATTCTACTATTTCAAAATTAGGATGATAGAGACTATTTTCTTAGAAATGTGCATATATTCTTTCAAACACACACATGCAAAGTGGGTATAATAGAAAGGAGTTTAAATTTTCTATTCCCAAATTGCTATGAAGAAATAGACAAATGTTGCCAGTCAACTAGTCTTAACTCAAGATAGAAGCAAAACTAGAAGTGAAATAGAAGAATTCAAAACTCTTGTCTCCTACTAGAAAGTTAAATAAAATGACCATTTAAATTTGTTAGATTTATATCACCATTCTTAAAAATGATTAATTGTTAAGGCTAAAATGGAAGTACTTTCAAACTTAACGAAATGAGAAAAATGTTCTCCATTGTGTGTAATAATAATATGTTAAGAAATTTAATAGCCAACACTGACAAATTTATTCACAAATAGTATCTTTTCTACGTACAAGTTTGGGCAGAAAAACACATTACTAATTATCTCCTAGAAATTAATTTTAGAAAGGAAAAAGCAATAAAAGAAATGTACAGAAAATTATCCACAAAGCAGTAGGCATCATGGGAAAACACATCAAGATGAATAGCTTTACAATCTGTGAACAATGGAACCAATTAAAACGAAGGCAGCTTACTTTCTGCAAACAAGTCAGATCAGAATCCCGGCGAAAGAGTTTATCCATGGGGACACTACTGTAGGAAGAAATATGAAAACAAACTGATGAACAAAATACTATAAACTATCAGTTTTATAATAAATGATCACTGATGCCATACATAAAAATTTTATATTTAACTTGGGTGTTCTCTGAAACATAATTTAATGAGCAATACTGCAGATGTGCAACTATCTCAAACCACAGCACATACCTATGGGAGAGCTTGTATTTTTCGATTATCCATCTTGTCTTTTCAAACACTAATCCCCACCGAGGCTCTTCTAACATCTGTTGTACTTCAAATTTGTAAGGTAAGCCTAGAAAAACATAAAGAAGTACATTTTCATCAACTATTTCTGAAATCTCTACTCTCCTTTTAATTAGACTTAAAATTCCCTTCAGTGTTTTTACAACCACAGCTTGGCAGACCAGCTGAAAGACCAGCACTTAAAACACAGTGGGCATTCATTAAACATTTATTACCTGACTGTACTTGGTCTACCAAGCATATTAATGCCACGCTATTAATAATAATAAAGAAAAGTAAAAGTGTCATTTGCGTGACAGCTCTGTGCAAGGCATAAGGGGTACGATGCTCACATAATTATCAGCCAAAGACACTTTTTGAGGAAAATAAGGCATTATTAATAATTATGCCACAATCACAAGCTTAAATTGGGACTGTCCTAGGCAAACTAAAACATACTGCCATTCTAGTAATACTTTTTTTAAACACAGGTTATTAAGCTTACAGCAATGCCACAAGGGAGGTAGCAGCATTCCTGTTTTACAGATGAGAAAACTGAAGCTGATGCAGGTTAAATAACATATTTAGGGCAGCAAAGTGGTAGAACTTGGAAGTTAAACCTTAGCAGATCTGCCTGACTTCTGAGCCCAAACTCATTCCACCTTCCCGAGAGGGTCTGATCCAAGACTAGACAGGAAATAAGATGAATTCTGGGGAGGCAGCAACTGCTGTCATGCTAAAGTCTAGAGGAAAGGAGCCCAAGGGGTGGACATCATGTATACAGCCAGAAAGGAAAAATACCCAACACTGAGCCATTCCAGCAATTTCTTACATATTTTCCAAGCCCCCACGTAAATGTTTCCACACTGTATTTAAATGAAAAGCTCAGCAGACTCACTACCAAAGGCCAACCGACCAACTTCATGACAACACTTATGCCCACCACGTACAAGGCCTTAGGTGCCTTACATATGTGAAGCCACATAAATGAAGTGGCTACCATCACTGTCCCCATTTTTTTTGGTGAGAACACTGAGTCACAGAAAGGTTAGCCTATTCATGGTCGGTCAATGTAAGAGATAAGGCAGCACTGGAACCCAGGTAGTCTGGCTCTGGAGTTACGTTCTCAACTTTCACACTACACTTCCTCTCAACTGGGTTTCTGCCACAGCAAGACTTTTCATGGACACAAAATGCCAGCAAATCAGAAGGCATGGGGGAGGGGAGACAACAACATTGCTTCCTCACGATAAAACAAAGCATAGCTTTATTGTTATTATGCTCTAAAAAGTCTTTTCCTCCCCCATTTTTTCAGGTATCTAGAAGAGGGGAAGGGGACAGCAAGCCTGATAATGACTGATCTTCCTCCAAAAATTTAAGAAGAGCAGCACATGACAGTATTAAGCAAACTCCTTTTGGTAATAATCATTTATTTGACATGTTTTCATTTCCTACTACGAACAGATACCAGCTATAATCATATCTCTTGAAAACCCATTATCTGCTAAACACTTTACATATATTATCGACAATGCTTACAGCCACCCACCCATGGGAAGTAAAATGAAATTTTTTTTCTCATTTTACAGAGGTAACAAAGAAGAAAGAGAGAGTAACCTGCCTGAGGTAAAATAAGCAATAAATGTCAGAGCTGGGATCAGAATCTAGCAGACAGACACCTACTCTTAATTAAAGTTGCAAGTGAAAACAATGAGGTAAATAATTCATTTTCAGCCTGTGCTCATGCAAAAACACGAACACACACACACAATATAACGTTCTATTTGGCATTATTAAGAATACTTTTCTAAGTTAAAAACAAAAGGCACTAAAGCCAGCAAAAGTTTCCTTTTATTATAGAATATTCTTATTTACTAAACTATCAGAAGAAAACTAATCACAAAGTATTTTTTCTGCCTGTCACAAGTACAGAAAACACTTAACTATTAGATATTATAAGGATGGAACCTGAGTTAAAAGTACTGTAGCACAAAGTACCCCATGGCTTCTAGAAAACCTTAATTTTTGCACCATAGGATTTCTAAGAGGAGCAAGCAAAGAGGCCAGAATTAAGATCTAACACGCAGTGTTAACAAGTTACCTCCTAGGCAATCTGTCCAATGTCAGCTCATGTGTGTACCGTGCAGAGCTTCCTACACTTCTTTCCAGTGGTTCTTCCCCTGCCTGAGATAGTTTCCCACATGCCTGGGCTGGTCTGTCTTTTGCTAAATACTGAAGGGGCACTTTCTATGATCTCCAGAGTTTGCTCTCTATTCGTCTTCCTGTTCTCTGGGACTCTGTCCTGCAAGCTTAGCTGTTTGGTTCCCTTAGCTCCTCACCGCCATCACCTCAACTCAAGAGTCTGCCAGGCTCTGGAGTTTTTCCTCCTTATGCCATACCTGGGAACTATCTTGAGTTAGTAACGGGGATAATTTGGGGCTCACTTCATTTGTTTCCCACCTCTTACCAATCATATTCCTTTGCTGCCTGATGTGTCCTAAATGCCATTATTTTATATATTTTGTCCAGTTTTTTGGTTGTTTCAGACAGGACCTTGTTATTTCATTTTGGATAGAAGTGAAATTTCACAAGCTTAATTTTAAATTTCATATGATTCAAATTAATTGAAAATTAAAGTCACATGTGCTTGCTACTACACTGGACAGCATCAGAGTAGAGGCTTACTACCAAAATCTAGCAGACTATGAGATTAAGAAATGATTTAAAGCAAGAACAAGTTATCTGTGATTCCTCTTTTTTGTAAAATTACACAGAGCCAAAGAATAATGTATACTACATGCTATGCTCAAAATGGACATTCTGAACTAAAGCTAATGCCAGTATTATTAATTCAGTAAAACCCCTTAGTGTTGACCATCTCCTAGAGGCAAGGCAATTGATTAGATGCTGCTGGAGATACGACAAATATGACATGGTCCCTGCTCTGTGGGCACTCAGTTTAACAGGACTTGCTAAACAGATAATTTGCATTAAAAGAGAAAAGCAACCTTTGAGGGCAGAACAAGTTTTGCAAGTGTACAAAGAATAAAGCAACTAACAGTAAATAACATGGGGGTAATGTTGGGAAGTCTTTACCAAAAGACGGTATCTAAGTACGACTATCAAGAATGAAGAGATTAATTACTAAGCAAACATTCGGAGTATAACGTGGTAAGGCAGTGACAGGGTGTCCAGAGGAGGGAGGACCTGAACAAAACAGTGGTAGTAAGCACAGAGAAGAGAGAGTAAATATCCCAGAGGTGCCTATTGTTTCCTCCAATCATCTCCTGTCCATCCACACTCTCTTCCTTTTCCTTGTCTGCTACACTAATTCCTATCTACCCAGAAATGACTGGATCACAGCTGGACATAAACCTCAGAGGAACCAAGTCAGATTATAGGCTATGCCAACCAAATTCTGGACACAAAATGAGAACTAAGAAATATAAAAACAGTGACAGTCACTGTTAATCCTAACAGTGAAGTGATGGAGAGCTGGTGGACATCTTTTTCTTTGCAAGTCACCACAGAGAAAGTCAGTCTGCATTTATAAAAAAAATTCATGAGAACAGAGGCTGCCTTTCATTTACCACAGTGTCTCCAGCGTCTTAACAGACAAGTGTGTTAAGTATGCTTGGCCATAACTTTTCTCCATGCTTTAATCCTTTAGCCCAGTGGCCATGGTAACACTGTGGACTTGAATATAGCAGAATACTATGAAAGGGAAGAGGGTAGCTGCACTAGGCGGTACCCAAACAGTAACTCCCTAGTCAAGAGAATACACTTTTCCATTAGATAATTTTACATAGCTATAAATTATTTGACTTGTAAGATTCAAGAAACTGAGGGTAGAAATAGGATGAAGTTATTTCTGTTGAAAACTTACGATAGGAACCATCTGGGCTAATTTCCTCACTTATAACCAGGCAGGTAATCTGAGAATATGGTAAGGGATTGTTTCGATTATAGGGACTAATAATCATTCCAATGAACTTTGCACCTCCTCTGGAGAAGTAACTCTACAATAACAAGAAAATTGTAATTAGTTTCAAGTATATACATTTATAAGTCAATGTTTATCCATACTAACATTTTAAACATTCAATGGGGGAAAGTGGAACATAAAGGTACATTAAAGATTTCATATCCAAACATCAATTTTAAATGCCTTAGATATTCATTTCACACTGTAAATGTGTTCAATCCAATCACAAATGATGCTTTAAAAACAAACAAACAAACAAAACACATGGCCTATAAAACCTACATTTGCCATGAATATATTTACCGATTATATTTACTAACCTATAACTGCAATCTTTATCAATACAGTAATACTTTACAAATAGCTTCCTACAGCAAAAACACATATCAAACATAAAATTGTAAAATCAAACAAAACTTTTCAGAGGTACAAAATATATTATGTTTCTAATTATTTCAGTTATATCTAGTACCTGTCCTAGTTGTTCCCATCAAATTTTAGAGGCTCTGGAAGTATTTACCACTGTTACATTCATGGCTTGTCTATATTAAATAAAATAGCTGACTTTTTAAAAGTTAACATAAATATATATTACCCTTGCTGTAAGAAAAAAAATGCAAGTTCTCTCAAAACCCCGAATAAAAAGAATATTAGCAATGTAATACCAAAAAATGTTAAAAGTGTTATATATTCACTAGAAAGCAATGGGGGGGGTGTGCAATCATTCACAGAGTATATACACATAATACCTGGTATTTGGCTTGTGTGTCAATATCTCGCAAGGAAGGGTTAGGATCAAATGCAGGATGAGAATGATACCATCCAATAACACTGTAGCCTCTAACAGCCAAGGTTTCTGAGGCCTGTGTTTGTGACACAGGATCCATCTCACACTGTAGTCCTGTACTCAGACTATTACATGGTTCTGCTGCACAGACCTATAAAGGATTGATCCGCACATGGTTATACTAAAATACTGTTAATTCTATTCCTTTGATGTTTTGATTCTTTCACACAGTAATACAGAAACTTTTCAAGTCCAAGAATTTTATTTGACAATATCACAGACAGCCCTTGTATTCTTTCAGGGACTCCTGTTACTTATGACAATAATTTCAGCAGAATGATGCATACAAACTTTCAACTACAAGTGTTAGTACACATTTCTGGCCTTTTAAGAGTTGTAGCTTTTTCTTGGTAAAGATGATGAGGAGCCAGGACCTGGCTTGTTCTCTCTTGGTGGTAAAAAGAAACAGGCACTCAGTATATGGCGTTGTGGGAATATATAAATAGCTACCTTATGATATATATTCACACATACATTTACACATATATCATAAGTAATGTCTATATATTTTTTTCTGAATTCTATAAAAATATTTGGTATGGCAGCAGGACTCAATAGTAATGAAAACACTTTTTTAAAAGACAGAACTTACCTCAACTATTTTATCAACTTCTGAGAATCTTCCTCCTAACAGACCAATCACTTCTGCCATAGAAACATGAGAATGCTAAAAGAAATAAAAGACAGACTTAGACCAATGCACAAACCCACCTGACAAAAAATCCGAATAAAATTCATTTATCAGGGGAGACTCTTTAACAAGTATGGTAATTATGCTTTTCTAAAATAAAGAAATATAGGAGAAGAATTAGACGCTAGGCTCAGTGCATAGAGACTGAGATTCAGGATTGTCTTCATGTGGGCTGAGAAGACCAAACACTCAGCACTCCCAAACTCTACTTTTCCACTTACAGAATGAAGACACCACTTGCTCTTCCTATTCAAGAAAGATATCATAAAGATACAAAGTAAAAGTCACTCTGAATCCTTGTATAGAAAAATACTGCAAACAAACAAAATTGTTGGAAGTACTGGTAGTTTAGTATAAACAAAGAGTATCCAATTTGTAGGAGCTGTGCTTTGTTTCAGTCACCTCAAAGGCAGCAGACACAAGATATCAGGAAATGAAAATAAGATTAATGATGGTAAACAGTCTGCAAAAACTCACATTAATATATTTTCTCTAAAATATGGAAACATGCAATTGTTTGGCTTTTCTTCAAAAGAAAAGACTTATTTTTAGATTCCTTGTAAAAGAAGATAGTTAAGATCCAAAATACACGTCTTCCATACTCTGTCTTAAGCCTGCAATAAAAATACACAAGAATAGAAATCAGAATAACTAAGTAAACACAATAGATTATCCTTACCAAATCCATTATTAAAAGTGCTTCTGAAGCCACTTTCACCTGAAATGGCTCCTGAAATATAAAAAAAAAGGGGGGGAGCATAAAAATAGAGATTTTGTTCTCCCCACCTGCAATGTTCCCCTTTCCTCCTTTGCCTCTCCCACCAAATTATCTGCACTAATTAGGGCTCAGCGCTAGCTAGACCTTTTTAAAAAAATCACCATTCAAAACCCCAGCAGGGAGAAATTCTCTAATTTTCAATGTGTGTCACCTGTCTGGCCCTTGATATATCTTGTCTTGTCCAATCTTTTAACATACATATGCTTTGCACATATAGAAAAAGATTATTTCCTGTTTGACAGGGGAGGTATTATTTATAGTCATTCATTAATGTATAAGTAGTACCTGCTTTTCTGCACTGAAAAAATGGCAAGGTATCAGTTGGAAGGGATCAAATGAGCTGAAAAGAAAAAATCACCTTTAATATAATCTCAACAAGATTAAGAAAATAACATTTAGTTACAAAATGTACTATCAATAATCTAAAGCCATGTTTTGTCTGAATGAGAAAAATATAAAACTAGAAGAATTTCTCAGGACATTCCATCAACTCATTTAAAAGAAACACTGTTCATTTAGATTTAACACACAGAAAAACCAACCAGGAACTTTGGGAGAAAGGTATCCATTGTCTTAATTTCCTTTAATACCCAAAGAGAACACTATAAGTCATTAGAGATATGTCTTACACTAAAAGCAGATTTCAAAAAGTTCAAGGAAAATATAAATAATTCCCTGACATGAAACCTGGAAAAAGGTGCAAGAAAGATGGAAGTTTCTCAAAAACACTTCTATCAAAACAACAAAATGCCCACCAAAGTAGGGACTTAACAAATATTCTTGGATGAATCCATTACAAACAATTCTGCTAAAAAAAAATTAATGTATTGGAAAGTCCTGTGATAAACTATTATTTTAAAATAAAAAAGTAAAAAAAGGTAAAACGAGGAGAACCTAACCAAGGTTAGTTACAAAAGTATATGTAAATCTGAGAGAAATGTTAGAGAACACCGTTGATCAGTAAGGAATTGAGGTTTAAGAAGGTTATTAAGAACAATAAGGGTTTTCTAAAATTATATTCAGGAAAAGACAAACACACACACATATGTTCTTGCTAACACAAATGGAAAAGAGCAGCATGGTTCAGTTCCCACTCAACCAAAGAGACTGCTGGCTCCAAGAGATCAGATTCTTTATTTTGCTTAATACTGTATCCCAAGTGCCCATAACAGTGCCTGACATATGTAGTAGGCATTCAAAAATATTTGTTGAATAAAGAAGATTTTAAATTAGAAAATGTTTAATCAACACAAATAAAAAGAAACTAAAGGCCCAGATAAATGAGAAAACTGCAGAAAGAACATCCCAGAACACTTAAGAACCAGATGTGAAACTACTGTCAGTGTTTACTGAGGAGCTGCAGAGAATGGCAAAGTTACTGAAGGACTAAAAATGGCAATTATTGGGCTTGCTTTCAAAACACAAAAAAAGCAGATTTCAGAAACAGAGAAATTAGATGCTGAATACTGACAAAATTGTAGAAAAGATGATTAAACGGCTGATTTGTAAGTCTTTACCAGGTGAAGAGGTGACTAACAACAATGGGTTCATGAAAATGTCATGATAAGTAGACCTTATTATAGACAGTTTTATAGAAATGATCTGCTAGAAACTAGCAGACAACATAAAGACAATTATATTTTGTCTGAAATTAAATGAGACATCTGCTATGATTATCCTTCTGCATAAGATGGAAAAATATGGGTTAACAGTGGTAATGTATATAGTTGACCAAACAATGACTATCTTCACCGTTTAAAAGTAAATAGTGAGGTTTACATTAGTCCAGTTACAAATTTCAACCAGTGACTAATGATAGAAAAGGCAAGCTTAATGAAACATTGATGATTCAGAACAATGAAGGCTAAAATAAGGAAAGCAGATCTGGATTCAAAAAGATCCTCACAAGTTGGAACAACCACTTGAAAATCACAATAAATATAACTCTCACATACAGACTTAGAAAATCAATTGTCTGGGTACTGGTTAAGTCGTCTTGGTTATGGATGACTATATTTTTTACATAGCCTTATTTATTCTCACAATAACTGTGTAAGTTTTTGTTTGTTTGTTTATTTTGAGTAGGAGTTTCACTCTGTTGCCCAGGATGGAGTGTAGCAACACACTCATGGCCATTGCAGCCTTAACCTGCTTGGCTCAGGTGAGCCTTCTGCCTCAGCCTTCCAAGGAGCTGGAACCACAGGTGTGCACCCCATGTCTGGCTAATTTTTTTTTTTTATTGTAGAGATGAGGTCTTACCAAGTTGCCCAGGCTGGTCTCGAACCCCTGGACACAAGTAATTCTCTCACCCTGGCCTCCCAAAATGCTGGAATTAGAGGTATGAGCCATGTGTCCAGCAACTGTATAAATTTTAACCTTAATTTTAGTAATGGTTAGGAGTATGGATTCTTAAGCCTTGTGGCATGGACTCTTAAGTCTTTAAAATCTGGGTTTGAATCACAGCTCCACCACTAAATAGTTTAAGCAAATTACAAAACCTCTCTATGCCTTTCGGTTTTCCTGTCTGTAAAATCCAAGTGATAAATAATATTAACTACTGCATAGGGTTGATATGAGGATTAAATGAGTTAATACTCATGAAGTGCTTAAAACACAGCCAACAGTGTTAGCTATTTTACTTATTTTATAAATGAGAACCCAAAGTTTACCATAGAACCTACAGCAGGTAAGAAAATGATCTAGTGGCACTCCTGAATGTCTTGTTTTAAAAGGGACACTGACAAAATATTCAGTGGGCAGCTGTAGGAAGTAAGATCTAGAAAATCAGGGCACTTAACTTTCTTTGGTGACACTTAATTTTACAAGTCTCAAATTTTATATTATATATACATTAGAAAACAACAACAAACTCCACAACCACTTGCTAACAACTGGTACGACCCAAAGAGAGAACCAGTCATTTTGTGAGGTTACCTATCCATAACGTCTCTAGTTGGATGACAACCTGTCCTAAACAAGGCCTCTTTACAACATATGTTGCATCCTATGTTCACTGACCTTGAACAAATTTTAAATGTTTACAAAAATCTCAAAAGTTTTAGCAGTATTTTTTAACTTAACATGAACAATATAATGCAGCTATTGGATATTGTTTCCATACATTTTCTAACCATTTGTGGTAAGTTAAAAAAAAAAATCACACATGTAACATCATACCTTTTTGTTGGTCTTGGCACTTTTAAAGATTTAACAGGTCTGTATTTTTCCTCTTCTCTTCTTTTTGCCAACTCCTCAGCAGAGAGATGCTAAAACAAAGCGCCAAATGATCAAAGAGTCTTTCAACTACTGAGAGGTAGAGTGAACAAAAATGGGCCTTTAAAACCAAGTTTAAGGGATGTGAGAACAAGACAGACCAAAATGACATAGATGTGATTTGTTACTAAGCAATACAAATGCTGAAAAATATCTCTTAAATTGTTTCAAAAGACATAGCCATCCCAAACTTAAAATTTACCCCTTCTCTTAACTTGCCCATTTCAACCAAAGGTACCAGTTGCCCAGTTCAAAAACCTCAGAATCACCTGAGTCTTTTATTTCTCATTTCTACTCACCAAGTCCTACTATGACAAGTTTTCTTTTACAACTGACTGAGACATTGTAGAGTAATGATTAAGAAAATAGATTCCAGAGCTAAAATGCCTGGCTCTGCTATTTACTAGCTAGGTAACCCAAGGCAAGTTCTAAAGCTTTCATGTTTCAGTTGCCTCATCTTGGAAAATAGAAACAGTAATAACAATATCATGGTGTTATTGTAAAGATGAAATGAGTTAATGCTTTTTGTGTTTTGTATTTTTTTTTTTTGGAGTCAGAGTCTTATTCTGTCACCCAGGCTGGAGTGCAGTGGTATGATCACAACTCACCGCAGCCTCAACCACCTGGGCTCAGGCAATCCTTCTGCATCAGCTTCCCGAATAGCTGGGATTAAAGGCACCCACCACCACACCTGGTTAATTTTTTTATTTTGGGGGCCAACAAGGTCTCACTATGTTACTCAGGTTGGTCTCAAACCCCTGGGCTCAAACAATCCTCCTGCCTTCACCTTCCAAAGTGTTGGGATTATGGGTGTGAACCACTCGAATAAATTAGGGTTTATAAAATACTGACAAGAGTATCTGACACATAGTAAGCCCTTTCCAAGCATTTGTAAAATAAAGCAAATCTCTATTCTTTCCATTTCTACCACCGACCTTACCTTCTAGCCCAAATAAACGATGTACCTTTTCCAAAATATACCTAGTATTTTCCCATGTCTACACCTTTGCTTACACCACTTCCTCAGCCTGGAATGCTTTAATCTACTTTTTGAGAGTCTGCTAATCCTTCAGATAAGATTACACATCACATCTTCTTTGAAATTTCCCTCAACGCACCCTTTGGGAGACTCTTCTAATTCTTGTGACTAACTTTACAGAACTGACACAGGTTTTGTCCTGCCTACTAGAAATATTAAGTCCTTTATGGGAAAGAACCATGAATTGCTAATTATTGTGCCTTGAACAGTGCTCAGGTGAGGGAGGATGGGGGCAGGGAATAGGGAGGAGGAAAGATAGACAACTAAAGTTTATTGAGTACCTTGGGTAGGCAAGGCTTACTGAGTACCTAGCACTAGCACCTTTATGTACTTTATCTCATCTACTTCTTACAATAATCCTTCGAGGAAGGTATTATTAGTCACATTTCAAAAACCAAAAAAAATATAAGATTCAGTGAAGCTAAGTAGTTGCTCAAGGTAACAAAGTCTGTATGTACATACACATTCTTTTCATTCTACTGCACTTGCTGTTTACAAATAAATTCTATACTTAGGACACGTGTGTGCATATGTGTGTGTGTGTGTGTGTGTGTGTGTGTGTACACATATACACAAACAAATTCCTTGACTTAAGTTTCCCCTTAGGACCACAGTTTTTAGTAGTAGAAATAACACTTCAATATTTGTAATTCAGTTTATGTCTAATGCTTAGAACAATATTTTAATTGGTATTAGAATTCATTTAATAAATGCTTAATGAAACTGGGCATAACAACTTCTTGGCACCCTGACAGATATTCTTGAGCAAATATAAGAATGTGGAGAAAGAGAAAGTTCTGAAACGAATTAAACAAGTTAACTTATACCACCAATGCCTTCTATTTTGTTTTTTACTGATGATATCTATACAAATAAATTAACATGGCAATGAAGACATATGTTAAAATATGAAACAAGAGTAATATATATGACATTAAGATGTACAAATACATGTTTACAAAACAGCTTCATGGTTAAGCCATCTGAAAGGTCAAGGTTACCTCAAACGTTTGTCCTTCTAAGTCCTTTGCATCACACCAGTTTCCCCATGGGTCTCGGACCCTACGTCTCCTGGTGCGCTGTGATGAAATCAAAGTAACAAGATTAACAATGGAGAAATCAAAGCACATTAATACACAAAATGAAAATGATAGTTACGTCAAAATCAGTTAATTTATCCACTTATATAGTATAATCTCTGATAAGCAATGTCTGGCTAAATTTTATTTTATTAATTTATGTTCAATAGCTAGTACTCTGCTTAGAAATAAATTGGTGACAGAAAGTTAAGGGTGGAAGCACTGGCAGCCAATGGGCAGGAAGTAGGCTGGGTAGTGAAAGTGGGGAGCTGTTTAAAAAATGAAAATCAGTAATGATTTTCTGTATTTTACTTGTATTTCTTCTTAAATTTACATTTCCCTTCATCATTTAGTAGCTGAAGCACTGGAACAAAAGTATACAATATTGTGGGGATTTTTTGTTTTTTGTTTTGAGAAAGCAGGATTTATTAAGAGGACAGAAGAGCTTCCACAGTGAGGGGACCCAAGGGGGTTGACCACAATATTGTGATATTATCATCCATATTTCATAAACAAAATAATGAGATTCAATGAAGTTAAAAGAACCATCAAGAAAATGGCTTTCTTTTCAACCACCTGTGGTAGAAAATCTGCAAGAACACAAAACAAGAGGTAATATTTTGAAAACTAGAAGCGAAATAATTATATCTCAGCTTTAGAAAAAAGATGGCCTAGTTAATACAAATAACAAAAAATTACAGAAGTTGGTTGACTATATTATTAATATCCAGTTTTGCAAGCCTCAACAGTGAGGTCTTTAAAATGGACCAGTTGTCAAAGGACAGTATATGACCAGCACCATCTCCAGCAACTCTACTTGAAAACATCCTTTCTTAAGAGACTAAATCTAGGTAGAAAAGGTCTACAGCCTAAATACTCCAAGAAAAACAGCTACTCTATCATCTATATACTCTTTTCCATTTATCTTACCTATTACTGATTTATTTAAATTATCAGTAAAACTAACAAGATCATATTAAACTCTGTCTTACAGGAAACTTGTTGGATCACTTTATTTTCAAAGTAAGATTTATGAATTTTTAAATATTATAAAACTTACTGACTCTAAGAGTTAAAAAATAAAGGCTAGTTATTCCAAAAAGCTGGTCGTTAAGGTAAAAACTGTAAGAGAATAAAAATAATTGAGAGAGAAAAAAAACCCTACAGTTTTAAAAGACACATTAGATTTATAAATCAAAACCAAGCAGCACAAGACCACTTTAGCAAAACATTATATTCCTGCATCAAATCTTCCAGTGAATTTTAAGGGTATTTTTAGTTTGTTTTTGCCTTATAAACCAACATGAAATTGAATGGAAGCCAGAAACGTGAACAGCTACACTGAAATACAAGAGAAAACATTCTTCCACTAAATGGTCATTTGTTAAACAGCTGAAGAGAAGTAGGTATAGCTCATTAAACAGGGCAAAAAGTAATGTGGAGATCATTAAGTGAGAAATGACTGCTCACCATAGACTGCAGACGCTGGGCAAGTTGGTATGCTTCTACTGCGTCTTTTCTGTCTCTAATTCGTATTTTATCAACTGGTTGTGGCCTATTATATACAGCCTGTTCTATTGGAATTCAGGAAAGACAAAACAATCTATCATTTTGTGAAACTCATTTGTTAAATAGGAAGACACATCTAGAATAACTATAGCTGAGCTTCTATAACTCGATCTTATTCTACAATCATATATTTGATGTGCTGTTCAGCAATTTGCAAATAAAAGTAATGCTATTATTTTAAAGAAGTCTCAATAAGATGGAATATTTAGGAAATGGGTCATTTGCTTAATTTCTTATTAAAAGATTGATTGGCCCATTTTGTAAACTTTGGCAGTCCAATACAGAAAACATTATCTCATTCTTCTTTTAGTGGCTGAAGAAGCTAACATGCCTTAGTTTTCCTGAAAATCTAGTCTCATTATACAGAGCTTTGGATAACAAAGACAGACCCCAGGGCAGATTATAAATGCGATCTATCTCTGTATAAAATGAAATCACACCTGACAGAAAATTTTCTGGTTAGTTGTCTCACTTTCCTAGACAAAAACTACAGAATATACCCTTAAACCGTGGCCTACAAGGTCCTAAACAACTTATTATTTTGCAACTATGGATGGCTACTATGGGTAAATACATTTTAAAATATGTATATTCATCAACTTTATATTTAACAAAAACTAGGGTAAAAGAAAATTTTCTTCCATAAAGTATGTTGGTGCTTTTATTACATTTAAATGTAGAGGCTCATAAATTACTTCCTTTATTTAAACATTCCTAAATAACATTTGTAGGATAAATACAGTATTTGCAAATTAAATGGTCTATTAATACTTTTCATAAAATAACATTATTTTACCTGCCAAAGAACTGTATTCTTAAATTATTTCTATTACTTAGATTGGATATTTTTCCTTTAAAGTTACATTCTCAATTTTCATAGCAGGTCAAAGGAAAATACAATTTAACTAACAGAAATCTGTTTTACAGCAAAATCTTAATAACATATTGATCCCATAATGTTATACCATCTCTCTGAATTCTATATACCTAAATCTACTTTAATTCTAACCACCATAGAAATGAATGGGTGCTATAAGGATAAAAAACGTCGAGTAAAAGATGTTGTTGGGTTTTTATTTTTACCACATCCAAAATTGATTGCTCCTATCAATTCGAGGTATGTATGAATCCGTCCAATACAATTAACATCCCCACAGTTCTTCAGGCCAGGACGTACTGAGGTCTTATTTAAGTATTTCGGTTTGCATATTTCCCTAATTAAGAGATGGAAGTACAATTATTTTGGATAAATAAAAACATGAAAAAAGATTTCTGGGGAAAACTTTAAATATGTGAATATCCTCACATTGTATACCCTTTCAGTGTGTAAATGTGCAATAAATACAATACTAACATACAATACCCAAGTGTACTTTTAAAAAATATTTTTAAGTTTATAGTAACTTATAAGTATAGTGAGATTTTTCCACGTATTATTTCTTCCCCAATGTTAAATTCAATAGATTCCAGTTATTCCAGGACCTTGAAGTTCAAAGTTTATTTACTTACAGATATAAATTAAATCTTTAAATAAAAAGGGCACTTTGATAATATATTGAAAGGATTTAGTATTAGACATGTCCAATTTTTAATATATTACGTAGGTTCACCTACTCTTGTTTTGACAAAGTCTTTTCATTATCAGCTATTTTATACATGCCTAAAAGCTTTATATTCGTTTTTAATCATGATGTCAATAAATAAAGTGCTTACACTCAGCAGAAAACAGAAAGAGACATTATATGGGATTCCAAAGGAATCAAGAAATTCCCAAAGATAATGATAGAAATAAGAGACTTCTATAATAAAACACTTATTACTGAATATATTTAATGTACCATGCTAGATGACACAATATAAAACTTAAGAATTTAGTAGAAACTAATTACTGAGTGCTTATGCCAGATTACTGTGAATTGCACATCCTCAATCTTCACAACTCTACAAGGTGAATTTTATTATTCCCATTTTAGAGATGAAGAATCAAGAGAGTCAGAGTGATTGAAGCAATTACTTAAGGAAGTGACAGAATCAGGACTCAAATGTAGATACTTATAATAAAAGCTAGACATTCAGATATATCATATAACATGGGTATTTCTGTATTTCTTATTCAATTGTTTTTTAATTCTACAGATACTTCGTTTGTCCTACACATCAGGTACTGTTCTAGGCACCAGGGATACAAAGATGAACAATATTAATTTCTGGGTCTCACAGACTTTACATTCTAATGGAAGACACTACCAATAAACCAATGAACTGTGTGTGTGTGTGTGTGTGTGTGTGTGTGTGTGTGTGTGTGTGTGTGTGTGTGTGTGTGTGTGTTGCACTGTCAGGCAGCAACGGTGCTAAGAAGAAAAAGTAAGAAGGATAAAGGGATAGAGTGAGACAAACAAGTGTAGACTACTACAGATAGAAGGAACGTTTGGGGAAGGCCTCTTGAAGTAGAAGGGAAGGCAAGAAGCAATTTGTAGTGTGGAAAAGTATCATAACTTCCACAGAAAAGTTGAGATTTCAGTGTGTCTTGAAAGAGAAGGAAAGAAACTGCACAAATGAAGGCAATAAAGCAGGAAAAAGCATGGCTACCAAAAACTGTAGGAGTTTGAAAAACTAGATTGATCTAATTGAAGATTACTCAAATCAAAAGGCTTTAAACAGAATTCAGTAATCTAGCACAGTGCTGAATAAATGGTAAGGACTCTAAAAATATCTGTTCATGGAATAGTGATGATTCATATGTTCAAAATTTTTTCCCCTAACAAAGAAAGTGTCTTCTATATTCCAAGTACTGTCCTAAGCACTGGAGACTTAACAACAAACAAAACATACAAAAATCTGCCCTCATGCGACCTGTATTACCATGAGGGTTGAGGAGTGAGAAAATAATATACAAAATTTTTGGTAGTAGGAAGTTCTATGAGAAAAATAAAATCCAGGACAAGAGAAGAGAGAATGAGGATATGTGAGCTATTCTAGACATAGCAATGAAGCCTCTGATTTCCCTTGAACAGACCTGAATGAGATAAGAAGACTTGCCAAGACATGGGGGGAAGAGCCTTCAGAGCAGAGTGAAAAGTCAGGTCAAGGCCCTCGTTGGAAGAACAAAAACAAAGAGTTAAGACTGCAGACTCTGAAAGTACCTTATCTAGTGTGACCTGAACAAGCTCCTTATCCTCTGTGAATCTCATTTTTCTCATCTATAAAATGAGGCCTAGGATGTCAAAAGGACTGAAAATGATTTAAATATAGTACACAGCATTCAGTAGGCAAGTAAAATACTTGTTACTATTTTAATAAAAATATTCCCTTAAACAGAGTCAACTACGTCTACTTTTATGAAGAGGATCTTTTATCCACAAACAAATCTGGCAGGCCTCTTTTTATTTTGAAACTTTAACTCTTCTTTCTATTTTTTTAAAACACCACCTCCAGTCCCTAACCACTCTCTTCTATTTCTGAAGAGAACAGATTTTAGTTCCTGTTCAAACATTTATTTTTGCTTTCACACTGTTCTGCTAAATCACCATAATGAAACAGCAACAACTAACTAGTTTCATGAACCAATGACTTAGGAACCTACTGCCATGTAATTTACAGTACCTATATGATGTACAAAATTGGCCTCATTTAGAATCCCAAGTCAAAATAACAAAGAGTTTGATTAAAGTAACAAGTACATACTGATCATTCATATCGATATTGTTGAGTTAGTTATTACAAGGTCCTTCGATTTTGGCTACCATCTCTTATTTCCAAAATCAAAAGTATATACCAACAGACACCTAATTTTTTTCTTGAGTCAGGTTTTTACTCTGTAGCCCAGGCTGGAGTGAATGGATCCTCTAACCTCAGTCTCCTAAAGGCTCCTAAAAACACCCAACTGATTTTTTTTTTTTTTTTTGTAGAGACCAAAGTTTTGTTATATTGCTCAGGCTGGTCTCAAACTCCTGGGCTCAAGCAATCTTCCTGCCTCAGCCTCCCAAAGTGTTGGGACTATAGTCTTTTTTAACTAGGTCTTTTTTTTTAATAGAGTGGATTAGGCAATGTGGAATAATAGAATTAATTTATAGAGTCACAGAGTCAAGATTTAAACTGAAGTCCTTCATGTGGCTGATTGTATAATCAAAAGCAGGTCCCTAAACCTCTCCTGATTTCAGACTCATTCTCTATCAAATAAGGATAATACTATCTGCCTATTCTTACAAGAGTATTGTAAGGAATCAAATGAGAAAATGTAGGAAAGCTTTCTGAAAGCTGTATAGCATTATGTAAATACCAGGGGCTGTTCCAGAAACATGTTCTTTATTGTGATTTCACCCTGACTCAGAAGGTATACTTTCAGACCTCAACCGTCTGTAAGATAACTACAAGTTATGAAAAAGAACAAAAATCTTTCTTTTAGAACATAGCTATCTTTAAAAACCAAATGACTTGGGGTAAAATGGAGGCTACTGATTTAGTAGGCCGTTTTTCCTTAGTAACCCTCCTAGTTATAGTAGAAAATTAATACAATAGGACAGGAAGACTTTGGATACAACAGACAAAAATAACAAGGGACAAAGCAAAGTCCTGCTCAAGAAACTAGGAAGCTCTCTGTAAAGATGTACCTATAAAAGAATTCAATCGCTTCTGAAATAGTACTAGCAATTATGAACGTTTAATGTGACTTAATTAAGCTATTAAGGAAACTTCAAATTATTTTCAGAGTATTTAGGTTAATAAGGTGGGAAACTCTTTGGCTTGTTCTCTACCCCCTAAATAATTCAGATAAAAGGAACTGAAAAAGAAAACTCCTGTATCCTGATAAAGCTGGATGAAGGAATTACTAGCATATTATGCCACAAATTCAAAGTTGAAAGCATTTAAGGTAACTATTTAGAAGAATAGTTTCTGCAATCTAGTCATATTTAATATTATTCCTCTGTCACCAAATTTTTCTTTCTTTGTACTCAAAGTACATGATAAACCTGAAATTCTCCCCCTTTTCCAGTACAGTAGTGATCTCTATCTGTACCTTCCCAACACTATCCTAAGAGATTGCTTCTAGAGCAATCATTTATGCCTTTTATCCAGTGCCAAGCACTCTAATGAACAAATGGGTTATGATAGCCATAGGTTACAATGTTTACCAAAGCTTTCAAAAAAGTTTCACTATAAGAAATGATAAATCCTACCTATTGACATGATAATACATGTGAACGCTCTCTAAGAAAAATTCTAAATACTGCATAGACCTAATTAAAATACTTCAGATTTACCAGGGTTTTAAAACAGCATCTAAAATGTAATTCATTCTTACCATTGATCCAAAATGTAATTTCTAATTTTCAAATAGCGCTCTGGTGTTTTAGCTTGGCGCCCCTCAAAAAACTCAGAAATTGCTTGTTTTTCTTCTTCTTGAACTGTATTTCTATCTACTTCTATTTCCTGTTCTGGTGGCTTAAGCTCTTCTTCCTCATGGCTTTCCTCCAACATTTGGCAAGAAGAATGAAAGAGCATTTCATTATCACTCAAATCTTTCTGAATTTCACAAAGCTCTGGAGAAGGCAACTGCCTGGAATCATCTATTATTCCACTTCCATCATGCTTGATGCAACTTTTAATCAGTGTATTATGTTCCTGATCATTTAATTCAACTGATTTTTTGTCACTGTTGCGCTGTTTTCTGGTCCACAAGGCAACTTCTGAGCTTGAAAGTGTTTCATTTTGCTTTATATTCTGAAGATAGTCCCTAGAAGCCTTAGAAGAGGGAGCTTCCTGGTTGTCAGAAGCAATGAATTCTCCTGGATTGGTTTCACGCATTTTACTATTAGGAATGTCTAATAAGAGATTATTGCTAGAATTCTCTTGGGATGTTTGAGAAGACAACTCATCCACCTCATCTGTGATGTCTACTTCTTCATCATCAGATAACTTTTCAATTTTTACAGCATTCAAGTTGGGATCAGCACGTCCCCTCAAACATGATGGTGTCCATGTCTTTGTCTTTTTATCTTCATTTTTAACCTGAAGATTACTGCTGTTCTTCTGATTTGGTGTTTCTTTCTCTGGGCCCCATTTTACCTTGTTAAAAATCAGAAAATAAAGTAATATTAAGATTTTAAAATTTAATCCCTGGCACAAAAAATACAGTATTATTAAACTAAGTATATGTTAATGGTACACTATATCTTTAATGCACTTTTCTTTAGAAGATTTACAACTGCATTTTAATCATAAAAGATCACAATTTTCAATTTCTATAAACATATAAAACATTCATGGTCTGGTGACTTTTTATTAATTAAATAATCACGACCTATATTTAACTGCTACTTGTTTTTCTCAATATTAAGTTTAAAATAGGGCCTGGGTCAGATCAATCATAGAGAATGAGTCAGTAACTGTCATACTAAGGTGTTCTACAAGATATTAAAATATTTAGAAAGGTTTATTTCTTAGAATGCCTGATATATCAGCTGCCCATTTCCTATAATGCTAAAACAGTCTTTTATTGAGGCAATCTATCTGACATATCTTCACTCAGTAAATTTAAACCATCTTTCATTTGAATACAGAAACAACAGAAACAAACTTTTTTTGCAGGTTCATTCAATGCAACTCTATCATAGAGCTTATATTTTAAGCTATGAAATTATCTTCCACATCTGCTATTATAGACATAAAAAGTTGGTAATGTAACAAGAAAAAGATAACAAAAACAAATGAGCAAATATAACTTGAAATAAAATATTTATATACAAAGTTTTTAAAAAGTCTTGTAAATGACTGACATACACAAGGGATATGACAAATCTCAAAGAGATTACTTATAGATCTTGTATCACAACAGAATCCCAGGATCACATATTTCAGGTTAATGGCTATGTAGAGAAGGTAAGGGTAGCAGAAAGGAGAAAGATTTGGATATACTGCCTAAAATAGCCTTTAACAACCTTGCTATTCCATTTGAAATCGTCTCCTCAGTCTTAAAAACTCAGATGAAATTTTGCCATAGATTTCATACCATACTTGTCTCTGTTATAATATTAAAAATATAGCCTTCCACCCCAGGTTTCTGAGCAAAAAACTCCACGGTACATTGCATGTCCAGTTTGAGAAGCAGAGGAGCAAGAATAACCAAGTTAAGCTTGATTCTGTTCTGAGGTATTAACTCAACTTGGGTGTCATGCCTTAACAAGGCTTTTGTTTGGCTAAAACAGAGTACAAGATTGATGTGATGACTCCATTCCATTACTTCCTACCTATGCCCCAGCTAATACATATATATCTACAGGGTAGAGCCCATTACTTAACACTAAAAGAAAACATCAGATTTCATTTAAGACACTTCCCAATTTTTTTTTTGAGTTGGAGTCTCACTCTGTCGCCCAGACTAGAGTGCAGTGGCCGCTCCTGGCCACCACAGCCTCTACCTAATGGGCTCTGGCGATCCTTCCGCCTCAGCCTTCCAAGTAGCCGGAATTACAGGCATGTGCTACCATGCCCGGCTGATTTTTTGATTTATTGTAGAGATGAGGTCTCACTGCCCAGGCGGGTCTCGAACCCGTGGGCTCAGGCAATGCACTCACCTCAGCCTCCCAAAGGTGTGGGATTACAGGCTGAGCCACCAAAACTGGCTTCCCAATTTTATATAATTATGTTTCTAGAGTTCAAACAGAACATATTAAAAACTTCTAAATATCAGGCTGGGCATGGTGACTTACGCCTGTAATCCTAGCACTTTAGGAGGCAGAGGCAAGAGAACTGCCTGAGCCCAAGGGTTCAAGACCAGCCTGGGCAACTTGGTAAGGCCCCGTCTCTAAAATAAATCAAAAAATTAGCCAGGTTTGGTGGCATGCACCTGTAGTTCTGGCTACTTGGAAGGTTGAGGCAGAACGATTGCCTAAGCCTAGCAGGTGGAGGCTGCAGTGGCTGTGAGCATGCCACTATATTCCAGCCTGGTGACAAAGTAAAGCTCCAACTCGAACAATAAATAAATAAATCAATAATTCTAAATACCAAAACTACATTGTTGAATACAGCACAGATTACTTGAAAAATTAAGGAACTAGACCATAACCACTTAACACTGTAATTTATTAGTTTCAGACAATTCTTCCCAACAATTATAACAATTTCATTGTTCAATTCTTCAGTTTTTATAAATGCAAATATTGAAAAAAAGTTTTTCCAGAGGAAACAAGACAAAAACTCAAAAGTTTTCTCTTTGAAATATAGTTTACTTTACAGGATTCTTTTTGAGCAGTTATTATTTGTCCATTTAACTTTATGAAATTAAGTGGTATAAAATGATACCTATTTAATAGCAACACTCAAAACATTGAAGATATATTTCAACATTTTTAAGATAAATATTTGTATAAGTATGTGGGTATAAAATCCTTTCACTATAAAAGCTTTTAACAATAAGACTTTAATACCTGAATTTTAAAAATAGTTCTGCTTATTAATTTTGCTTATTCCTAACATTATCACTATTAACTAGGATTCTGCTTACCTTATTTTTAAAATACTGTCTGGCATAACTCTTTACTTGTAAAACAGTGCGACTTCCAATTAGCTTTGCAATTTTGGTCCACCTTCGACCAAATTTAGCCTATGTTATCAAAATGGAAAAAATATTTTTGATTAATTTACTTATGAATAGTCCAAGCAACCGCCACATTAAAAAACAAAAACAAAACAACTAAAAAAAAACAACCCAATGTTATTTATTTTCTAAAGCACACAAAGAAGTCTTCTGTATAGACTATGCTCTTAAAATCAAAGCCCCCATTCTTCCTTTGGAAACTGGACTAGTGAAAACTGACCAAAATGATTCTGAAATTACTTTTTAGGAAAATAGCTAGCTAAATGAGGATTCATTACTTCTATTACCTAAATATGAATTAATATTGCATATTATGATGTTCCAAATCTAAGACAACTTTTTAAAACAAAATAGTGCCCAAAAGGGATGCAGGTGTACATTTTCCACTTATACAATCAACTGAACATATTCTGTGATAATTTCAAAAAAATATTTTTTACCCAAATTCCAAATCTTACAATATCTATTAGGTGTCTCATAGGAGAGACTTTTACTCTATCAGATAACACAGTGAAATGACCTAAAAGATTGAATCTCGAATGAGGCAGATTTCAACTAATGCCTCCTGATACCCTTCTGGGTGTCAAAGGCTGGATAACTCCTAATACTGAAGCTGTGGAAGGAAAAACCTGAGAACTCGAGGGAGCTCCTGAGTGTTCTCAATGCAGGAAGGAACATGCATAATTTCAGAGCTAAAACAAAGGTTTGGGTAACAAGTCTAATTATCATTTAATACCTAAATCCTCTTTACAATATTCCTAACACAAGATACTCTCTATTTTCCAAGGTAGTCCAGTAATTCTAATGTTTTAGAATTCCTAAAAGTACGAAAAACAAAAAACTAGCTACAACTCAAGAGAGCTGACCACAAGGTTAGATTTACAGGCCAGGCAGTCATACCTTAATGGCAGCAAATCATCTTCAAAGATCTGACCTAAATGATAAACCTTAATTTATACACATATTCTGATATTCACTAGAAAATCTGACATATGGACAATTTCTTAAAAATGCAAAGAAAGTTGATATTAATTATAATGATAAATTATTTAAGATTGCTCTTTTTTTTTTTTTGAGTTGGAGTCTCACTCTGTCGCCCAGACTGGAGTGCAGTGGCCGCTCCCAGCCACCGCAGCCTCGACCTGCTGGGCTCCAGCGATCCTTCCGCCTTAGCCTTCCAGGTAGCCGGAACCACCACACCTGGCTAACTTTTTGATTGTAGAGACGAGGTCTCACTATGTTGCTCAGGCTGATCTCAAAACCCTGAGCTCAGGCAATCCTCTCGCCTCTGCCTCCCAAAGTGCTGGGATTACAAGCTTGAGCCACTGTGCCCAGCTCTTGCTAATATTTTAATGGTGTGAATCTGATCATGAATTCTCTTAGAAACACTATAATTAGTGTACTCTGTTGCTTTATGTTTTATTTAAAATTGAGAATTAGGGGAATGCAGTGTGTTAATCGAACTCTGTCAGTCTGCTGCCATTTTTGTCTTCAATGAAATTTTTGTCCCAAGAAAGGTGGGATTACATTTTTGTCTAACAGATTGAGTTGGTGTAGTGTATTCTTGGTTATCAAAATACTCATATAGCTTTGGGATTTTGAATTGGTAAATATTCATGATGTATGAAAAAGCATGATATATACTGTACAATGTCAATCCCGTAAAATTGGATATTGTCTGTGCATACATAGGACCTAGAATAACATATCAAATTTAAAACTGCTTGTGATTGTGGATGACTTTGTTTATTGCTTCTTGTGTTTTTCAATTTATCTGTGTACATATTAATTTTTAAAAATAAAACCTGAAAATAAAAATGAGCCAAAGACCTTACTGGACACCTTACCAA